GGAAGGAGGGATAGGATTTGGAACTCCAAACTTTAAATAAAAATGTTTAAAAAAAAAAAAAGAAAGAAAGAAAGACAGAAAGACAGAAAAGAAGAGAAACTGTCCAGGTTTCATTGTGTGTCAACAGCCAGGCTCCTTCTCCTCCCGATGCCTGCCTGGCACACCCCTAGCTCGGCAGCTGGTTTCTTCTCACCATCCCCCTTGGCCGGAGAAACTGAGAGGCAGGGGACAGGGTAGATCTCATGCTTTTAGTCTGATGATATTGCCAGAAGCGCCTGAATATCTATTTTAACTGACAGCTCTTGTGTGCTGGTGCCACATCTGGGTCACCCCAAGGGCTGGGTCCCTTCTGAAAGAGATTTCCAAAGGCTGACCTGTTCACACTGACCTCCAGAGCCTATCCATCCTAGGCTGGCTGTGCACACAAAGAAGCTTTCTCTCAGAAGTCTTGAGTCTGCCATTTCCTAAAGGTCTGACACGCTGCCCAGGACAGACCTGCTGGCCACGAGCTGCCCCTCTGGTGTCCTAAGCACTTGGTAGTGTCGTGGCAGCCCAAGAGGGAAAGGGGCCTGAGCTTTCTGTTGGAGGCTCCCCAGGGATAGAGAAGAGAGCCCTGGGCTATATATCCTTTTGGTAAAGATTTCTGCTTCCACAGCCGTCTCCCAGCCCCTCCGCAAAAACGAGTCTCAAGTGCGCCACACTTTGACCAGAATAATGCGCCCCCAGTGGGGATCAGTACCCCCAAGGTGGGGGGGTCAGGAGAACATTGGGGGGAATGGCTACTAATACCACATTGTCCTCTTGCTTTTTTAGCTGACCTTTTACTATGGAACCTCAGACTTATGGTGCCCGGTCCAGTTCTATGAAGATATTAAGAAGAATTTTCCCAGTGGAGACATTAAGCTCTGTGAGAAAGGCATCAAACACGCCTTCATCATATCTTCCAACCAGGAAATGGCCACCATGATTGCAGACTGGCTAAAAGATGACCTGGCCAAAATCTAGCACAGACAGCGCAGGGCAGGGGGCCGGGGAGCAGGTGTGTGTTGGCAGGAGGCTTGATCGGGCAGTAGGGAGCTAAGGAAATCTTCATTTGGTGATTCTAGTGGGAGGGAGCTAATTGAAAAGGAAGGTCGGGCTAATGAATCTCAATAGAATCATCCCCCACTTGGGAATCTGAAACAAAAAAGAAACAGGCGGAAGACTTGATTTCTCTTGATTGTCTGGAAGAAACGTTCCGTGAGTAGATACAGCACCTGCCACGTGGGGTGGGAAGATGTCTTAAAATTCAAAGTTAGAAAATAGAAACCTGTGTGCTCATATAATGAAGGGTGAGGACAGAGCGAAGTCAGAAGGCATGTTTAGAAGGTGCACCTGCGAGGCCTTTCCAGGTAGCCCAGTCAGACGCTGGGAAGGCAGGCCACCAGGTCCTCCAGGCTCTGTGCCAACAAAGTGAATGGTCCTTCTAACCGAGGACACTTTGGTGGTCAGTGCTGTTTGACACATGAGCTCATCGGAGCCTGAGCACAACACGGAAGATATGTGTTGGCATGGGATAAGTCCTGGCCTGGCAGGTAGGACCCCGGACTGGGAGACGGCCCTTCCTCCCCCTGAGCCTCAGTCTCCTCACCTGGAAAAGGAAAGGTTAGACCAGGTGATCTCTAAGACCCTTCCCAGCTCTGACATCCAGTGGCAGCGATTCTGTGCGTGGGAACTGAAAGACAACATGGCAGCCGCTTCCCACGCCTTGTGCCCAGGTTGCCCAAGGTGTTGGCCGGGTCAAGTGGTGCTCATTTTGCCTCCCCTGAGTATTAGAGCCTCCATGAAGGGCAGAGAGCCTAGAGAGGCCTCAGAAGACCTGCCTCAGCCCCTTGTCCAGAAAACAAGCCGAGAGCTAAGCTGTGACTCCCCAACCACCCCCACAGCTGGGGCATGAGAACCCCTTGTCTCCTGAAGTCTGTTTTCTGTCTGTGTAAATGCAGGGCCCCTAGGTCTACATGAAATGAGGCCTCCATCGGGATCGGGCCTGGGGTGCGTGGGCCCAGGCTCAGACTCAGTCTGTGGTTTGGGCCCCCACGCCCACCAAGGGACCACAGCAATCATGGCCATCCTGGAGGAACTTTTGTACTCACCAAATGACACAAGAAGGAGTTCCAGGATGTTGTGGGGCCAGTCTCCTTTTGGCCTTGACTTCATGGTGCAGTTTTAGCATGCTTGATTAAAAACTGAGAAATGCTTCCAGATCACCGTTAATAAATCCATCGCATTTTGAAATGTGTGTGGCTTTTCTGTAGCTGGGCCTGTGCCCCGCGGTGCCCACAGTACCTCGATCCCATGAGAGATGAGTGCGAGTCTTGGCTCCTATGTCCTAAAAGACGCACATGGGGAGGAGGGGAACAGGAATCCCAGGCACTTAAACCCCATTAGCAAGAAGCTCCCGGGGCGTCTCCAGCACTTCTAGGCATTGAGGAATGCAAAATTGGCAAACAGGCTGCCCAACACGTCAGTATTGTCAGTGAGTCAGAGACAAACCTGCATGCTCTCCACCTGGGACAGCTGGTGTCTCAGGGCACAGAGCACTGGGAATGGGGTCACACTGACCTGAGGTCAGATCCAGCTTCAGACCCTGACTCACTGTGTGACCCTGGGCAAGTCACCTCACCCCTAGCTGCATCATTTTCCTCAACTACAAAGGGAGGATGAGAATACCGCCAACCTCCCACAGTTGTTAAGAGATCAAATGAGATGGTAGTTGTAAGCCCTTACCATAGTGCCAGACACATATTAGGCACTTAAGAAATGCTTCTTTTCTCCCTTTCTGTCCTTCCTCCCTTTTTTCTTCTTTCCTTCTTCCCTTCTTTCCTCCCTTCTTTTCTTCTTTCTTTCCTCCCTTATTTCCTTTTTCCCTTTCCTTCCTTTTTTCCTTCCTCCCTTTCCTTCCTTCTTCCTTTCTTTCCTCCCTCATTCCTTATTTCCTTCTTCCCTTTCCTTCCTTCTTCCTTTCTTCTTTCTTTCTTCCCTCACTTTCCTGTTTCCTTCTTCCCTTTCCTTCCTTCCTTCTTTCCTCTCAGAAAGATATAAGGGTTTTGCTGCCGTGGGTTCCATTATCATCTCTATGTAGCTGACTCCTGCTCTATTTCTCTGGCCCCGGTCTCTGTCTCCTGAGCTGCAATCTTGCATCACTAACTGCCTCTTAAACATTTTAACTAGATGCTCTCCAGGGCAGCTAAAACAGCATTTCCAAAACAACTCATTCCCTTTCCTCTGAGCTTTCCTGTTTCTGTTGAAGGCATCATTCTTTCAGTCATCCAAGTTTCCCCTTGGAATCATCTTTAACTCCTCACTCCCTCATCTGATATGTCTAGTCAGTTTCCAGTTCTAATCCATTCTTTCCCTCCAACACTTTCTTCATCCATCTCCTCTCCGCTCACCGAGCCCCCCGTTAGTTCAAGACCTCATCACCTCTCCCTAGACTATTGCAATAGCTTCTCACTCAGGTCTCTCTCCAGTCCACCCTCCACACAGATGTCAAAGTAATTATCTCAAGCTTAATGCTGACCGTGTCACTCCCTGCCCAGTGACCATCAGTGGCTCCAGAATCAAATATAAATGCCTATTTGACTTTTACAGCTCTTCACAAATATTAACTACTCATGGATAGGCTGAGCCAATACAATAAAAATGACAGTGCTACCTGAACTAATTTACTTATTCAGTACCTTACCAAACTACTTAAGACTTACTTTATAAAGCTAGAAAATAAATGATAATAAAATTCTTCTGGATGAATGAAAGGTCAAGAATCTCAAGGGAAATTAAAAAAAATAAAAAATAAACTAGAAGGAAGGGAGCACCTGATCAGTCAGTTAATAAACATTTTTAAGTGCCTTCTATATGCTAGGCACTTTGCTAAGTGCTGGAGATACAGAGAAAGGGAAAAACCAGTCCCTGCCCTCAGAGAGCTAGCAGTCTGATCAGAGACCACATAAAAAGGAGCTGGAAAGGAGAGGAGGGGAGCCCTGGACAGCTGGGCTTGGACTTCCGTCCAGGAAGGCTATCCACCCTCCACCCCGTCTGGTCAGGGAGAGAGGAGTCCCTGGCGCGAGAGGTTCACTTGGTGGTGGCGGTGTTGACATCACTTTTCAGGAGGTTGAATTTCTGAAGATGATGGTGGAGGCCAGGTCGAAAGCAGGCAGCATCAAAACCATTCAGTCCTGGTTAAAAAATCCAGAGGCCCGAGGATGGGAGAGATTTGATGTACAACATACAGAGAAGTAAATGAGCTAGTAGTTGACTCTGGCTCCCGGGGAAATGACTCCCTATTTGACAAAAACTGCTAGGAAGACCGGAGAGCCCTCTGGCAGAAATTAGGTTCAGACCAACACTTCACACCGGACAACAGAAACAGCCTTCAGGCTGCCCTCTCAACCTCAGCCTCCTCCCCTCTGCACTCAGTTGCCAAACTGATCTGGAGGCTGTCCGGTGGCTCAGGAAGCAGGTCCTGGGGCAGGGAGTCAGGAAGTCCTGAGTTCAAATTGAGCATCAGAGACTTCTTGGCTCTGTGACCCTGGGTAAGCCTCAAGCTCTCAGTGCCCAATCATAGCATTTACCTTCAGGGCTGTTGTACAGATAAGATAAGATGATATTGGTAAAGCACTTTGCAAACCTTAAGGTACCATACAAATGCTGTTGTTTTTTGGTCCTCTCGGGCTCTTCAAACCCATTTGGGGTTTTCTTGGCAAAGATACTGGAGTGGTTTGCCATTTCCTTCTCCAGCTTACTTTATAGATGAGGAAACTGAGGCAGAGAGTGATTAAGTGACTTGCCCAGGGTCACAGGGCTAGTAAGTATCTGAGGTCCGTGAAGGGGATTATGATTTTTGTATCAATCGATGTATGTGTAATGAATATACTAATAATTTAGATTCCTTTTCTTTTTTTAATTTTTTATTAATTTACTTTGATTTATCAACAATCACTTCCATAAGCTTTTGAGTTTTAAATCTTTCTCCCCCTTCCTCCCCACCGCCCTCCCCAAGACGGCGTGCAATCTGATATAGGCTCTACATATACATTCCTGTTAAACATGTTTTCACAGTAGTGATGTTGTAAGGAAGAATTAGAACCAATAGGAGGAACCACAAGAGAGAGGAAAGAAAACACAACAGAAGAAAAAAAAGGAGAAAACAGTGTGCTTCGACCTGCATTCAGACTCCACAGTTCTTTCTCTGGATGTGGATAGCATTTTCCATCATGAGACCTTTGGAGACGTCTCAGATCCTTGCGTTGCTGAGAAGGGCTCAGCGTATCAACGTCAGTCATCGCACATCGTGGCTGTTGCTGTGGACAATGTTCTCCTGGTTCTGCTGTCTTCACTCAGCATCTGTCCATGCAAGTTCTTCCAGGTTTTTCTGAAGTCTGCCTGCTCACCGTTTCAGAGCTGCCTTTTCTGACTTGGGAGTCAGACTCACAATGCAGCTTGGAATGAGCAATCGAACCTTTAACAACGCTCTCACATTCATGACATTCTTGTGCCTTTGTACCTTCAGTGAAGCAAATCAAAGAGTGTAGAACCTGCTTCCGTCACAGAACTTTGGTTCTGTGCCCCACCAGGCCATCACGACCCCCAAGACTCGAGACAATACCGTTCCCACAGGACTCCTGAACACCTGTATTGTGGATGCACAGACCTGTCGTGGGAAACCACTCAGGCCCTGGAAATGATTGTGTGTAATTCACTTCCCCCGCTGTCCCACTCTGAAATACGTATAGAAGCTGTGCCTTTTCTCCGGCATGTGGAGCTGGACCGCATACGCCACTCCAAAAGTAATTCATTAAACCACAACTTGTTTCCTGGCCCTCCTGTCTCTGGCCTGCTTTGTGCGGCTCCGGCTAGTCACAGATCAGAGATCCGTCCTGCCTGGATGACAGTTAAATTCTGTTAACAGACCGGATTTGAACTCAGGAAAATGAGTCCTCCTGACTCCAGGCCCAGCGCTCTATCCACCGTGCCACGTACCTGCCCGTATAAATGCTAGCTAACAACAAAAAAGCTGGTGCATCTCTGACTATGTCACCCCTCCCCCTGGTAACCCCGGTGGCTGCCTGTTACCTCCAAGATCAAACACAAAATCCTCTTTGCCTCTCAAAGCCCTTCATAATTTGCACACACACCCTCTTTCTGGTCTTCTTATTCACCTTTGCTTCCGAAGAGGACCAGTGACATCATGGGGTGATGTCTTGACCTGCTCATGAATTGGATTTAAGTGTGGCAGAGCTGCAGGAGGTCATCAGCCTCACTCTCTCCTCAGTCATCAAGGTCCGGTGGCAGGACAACAGTCAGGATGACTGGCGATGACCCAGTGGATGACCTTGGCATCTTCAATGCCTGACCAAGCTCTAGGAGCTCCATAGCTCCTGCTCCACTGCCCCCATGGCCATTGGACAAATTGGTCTCTGCTAATTCAGTAGGGAAGTCTTCCCATGCTTGGAGTGGACACCACTCGGGTGCTCAGGGAGGACCAGCATCTCTGGTGTGAGGGTTGCCGAGCTCTTTTCAGGGCCGTTCGTTCAGCTTTAGTGCCCACCTGTGGCTCCAGGAAGCTTTAGGATGGGCAGTGACCATACCCCGGTAAAACCATCTCAGCAGACAGGCCTGCTACCCTGCCTTTCCAGTCTCACAGCCACCTTCATCTCCCACGGTATACTCTGTAGTTCGGTGGCACTGGCCTCCTTGGCACTCCTCCCCAGAAGATGCTCCCTCTCTGCGCTGGGGCCTTTTTGGTGGCTGCCCTCCATAGCTGGAAGGCTTGCCCTCCTGTCTCCCTGTCCTGGCTTTGCACGCCTCCTTCCAGATTCAGTTCAGACCCCTCCTTCTGCAAGGGGCCTTTCTCTATGTCTTGTCCTGGTCCTTCCCACCAAGGCTAGTTCCCCTTCACTGTGGCTTTATGGACATAGCGTTGTCTCCCCTACTGAAAGCAGGGAGCCATCTTCTTACCTTCCTTTGTCTCCCCCTTGCTTAACGCAGTGCCCGGCATGTAGTAAGAGCTTAATAAATGCTCGTGGACTGACCAGCTGAGGAGGAACCCACCACCTCTCCGGGTAACCCATTCCACTTTAACGTGATGAACGGAAAAACTGGCATCTTTGCTTCTCTTGTCCTGGCCAAGGAGAATGACCTTAGCACAGGGTGTCAGTGCCTGGGTGCGTTAGGGGATCGTTGAGGCCAGAGTCCCCCGAAGCAGGGTCTCACTGGAGTCCTTTGAGTGGATGATA